CAAGGAGTTTGGAACAAGTGTGTCTTTAAGGCCCCTTCCAACCCAAACCATTCTGTGATTCTGTGACCTCAGGCTGGGAAAGGGGAGCTGAGATTTCTATTACTCCTGATGCAGCCTCATCCAGAGGGCTGAATCACTCTGAACACCAGCTGGCTCACAACACACCCATGGGATGTACTTAGGAGGCGACAGCAAAGAAAGGAAAAATCTTCAAGGCAGATTATTTTACTAAACTCCAGGAGGGAAATGCAGTAAGAGGCTTACAACACTGTCCTGTGGCAACACACCCCAGGAGTTATATCTGTGTACTCACAAAGCTGCTGGGGGGGAACACTCCCACATCACAGGGCACATGGAGGAAAGAGGAGAGGGACACCTCAGTCTCTGCATCGCCAATGTCCAGCTGTGACTGCGACAGCGAGACAACAAAAACCTGCCAGAGGTGGTATATTGTTCCAATATAGAAAGAAGTCAATACACACTAAAAATAACTTATTATATACAGTATATTTAAATCAACAGTCAAATATACATTGAGATGTGCTTCATGCAAATGCCTCGCGGCACTCTACCATAAAAAACATTTTTATATATACACATATAAATGTCACGCAGTATTTAAATGCTAAGTCTACCGAATGATTACCTCATTTACTCTTCTTGACAAACAAAACTCTCTGCTGGGAAAAAGTCAATGAAGTTACAGCTGAGAATACAGCCCAGCAAAACACAAAACACGGCAATGCCAGCAGAAGAATACAGGAGAGATGTGGTACCAGTTTAATTGGAAAACTTGTGCTTGAGGTGCCACGTAGTGACAGCAAGAGATCAGAGGATAGGTTTTATCCTGAGCACCATGAACATAAAATATTGCTACCAGGCACAGACCTGTGTTGGAGCAGACCTCTGTAGATATTAATGAGAGGAAGGGGAACACAATGATGGAGACAGCATGAAGGAAAAGCACCTGGAAAGTGCTAACAAGACACAACAGGGATGAGGAAAGCTGGCAAATTATATTATTTCCTAGTTGCTAATGAAGAGAAAAATTTGCAATGTTATCCTAAGTTTGAGAAATGAAGGGAAAAGGAGGTATTTGGCACAATAAAATGCCTTCCCTGGAGGTCACAACTCATTAATGGTTGTGGGGCTCAGGAAGAATCTAGCTTTTGTCTGGATCCTGAATCCTTGTTCTTCACCCATGGCCAATATCAGCTTTCTGTCTCTTATTACTCAATAAGATCAGCCCACATTGGGTATGATGGTACAGAGGACAGACACCTCTGAAGTATTTGATGTTTATTTTATGTCACCCAGTACAGCCAGAGGAAATGCAAGAGCCAGGAGGAAACATCCTAACTTCCTCACACCTGCAGCTGCCCAAGCAGCTGTGATTTCTGTTAAACCACTTCTGTTAAGTAAAACCCAACAATTTGCTTTCCAATTTTCTACAGAGATGAGCAAGTAACAGGTCTAAATGGAGCTTCACAGCTCCCATCTGGTTTTTGTGTTTCTTCTTGAACTTTTTCCAACCCCAGCCTGCCTAATGTTCACTGGATGTAACACGGTGACCATATAGGTTTTTGGTGAGACCATATAGACTACCACAGCCCATCTGCATTGCTGCCAAGCAGCAGTCTTCCTTCTGCCTTATCAGTAGTGATAACTTGTAGGATTCAGGATTTTATGTTCCTGTGATGGGCAATACCCAATTCCCATGCAGGTTCCAAAATTAGGATCATAAAAGTATCAACACTGGACTTTTTTCTGCTTTCTACAAGCATTAGGTTTTCCCTGCTCTGTGTACAAAACCTGTCTAGTGACAGAGCTTTTCTCAAGCTGTTCAGCTCTGCAGCAACATCTCAAAATTCATCCTCCCATGACAAACTCAGGAGCAGAGGGGAGGGAAAAAAATCTCACCTTCAACCTTCTGTTTTGGGGGAGCAGCTCAGGGAGAGCCCAGCCTGCAGCTCTCCTCTTACCATCTAATTTGTACAGATGGCTTGTGTGGAGAGGAGAGGGATTGTAATGCCAAAAGAGATGAATGGTATCTACCAAGTTCTTTATCCAGGCTACAGTATTGACCTATATCTGCTCCATAAAGGTGAAAAAACATGGATAGCTTGTGGGTTGAGCAGGAACATCTTCCTGCTGCCAGCTGGCAAACAGCTTGGGGATTACAGCATGAGGATTAATAGCCTTTGTCATTTGTAAGTGCAGATGCTAACCTTACTCCTATGACAGACTGATCTTCTTTGGATTCTGTGCCTGTTTGCTGTTCCAGAAAGATGACCTTGGGCTGCTGTGAGAGACAAAATACTTACACATTCATTTCTCCAGGCCCACGGTGTAGGCTGCAGGAAGACACGAGCTCACCCTGCACTGAAAAAAAAAGGCTGTATGCCTTCAGCAGATCTGGAGCTCAGGAATCACGCAGAGAAACTGGGTTTCAGCTCAGGCTTGATGCCACTGCAGCCCAGCTGTGCTGCTTTCTGGAGTAGAGAGTGAGCAGACTCCCAGCTCTACAGCAGCATGAGCACACTGAGAGCCTTCCCTGCCTCCCTCCCTCCTCACCACCTTCCCACCACTGCTTGGGGTTTTCATTTCTTGCATGACATCCTGTTAAATCTGCATCAGATCCCAAATAAACACCCAAAACAGCTATGTGAAATTATCCTGGATGTCTTTCCAAGCTTTAGGATCTGTCAGCTTCTGGCTGCTTGTATCACAGAAGCAGATGAGCTGAGAGCCAGCACTGCTTCCTGGGATATGAGAACGTGTTTGTTGGGGTAGCACATGCTGAGGGGAAAACGTGCTTCATTCGAAGTGTGAGCTTTTCTACAAACCCTGGATGCTTTGTTTTTTCCCCTCAAACCATAGCTGCAAACATCACAGTACATTTTAAATGGAAAGCGGATGTTCCTGCATACTAATTCCTTCAGGCTCTGTTGTCCTTTCACAGAACACAATGCCCATGAGAAAAAAGAAAGCAAATACAGAACAGGTTGTTTCTTCTGTCATTAACTTGGTCCACACTGAGGTGAACGGGTGCCACTACTTTGTAAATATTAAAGTATCACAGCCCAACTAACGACCTTCAAACTCCACAAGTGGATTAGACAGCAGGGATGCAACGTCTTGCTCATGAGCATCATGACTTCAAGACAACCCCTCTAGGAGTCAGCTTCCCTCAGGCCCGGGGATAACGTGATGGAGAAGGCCATATTCTCTGCTCAGCCTTTTTGTCCACCTTTCGTGCTGAAGGGCAGAAGGCAGCTGAGAGGCAGAGAGATGAAGTGCTGTGATCATACAGATTAAAGACGATGATAAATATGGGAGCGGAAAGCAAGCTCTGCAGGCACGCCAGCTCCAAGGTCATCGCCAGCTCCAACTGAAGGGGAAAACGAACTGCCACCAGAGGAAACGCCTGCTCCTCTGCCAAGCTGCCACCTCCGGCTTTATGCTGGAAAAATGATCAATAGCAGCTGGCAGCTTTTGGTTCTGTGCATCCAGGAACATCTAAAGACATTCATGACTGAAGATCAGTCGACTGTGTAAAGCACCAAACAACTCCTCAGGATCTGCAGCCGCTAAAAATATATCTGAGTATTGTCCATGTACCCCAGGAGCCACACAACCCACATTACCTCCGAAGGGAAGCGCAGGCAAGGCAGAGCGACAGGAATGAGCAGGCCACAGCAGGGTCCAGCTAATTAAAGACACTGGTAAAAAGGAAACCCAAACAAATCAAAGGATGCAGAAGACCATCCAGATAAAGCCTTTGCAAATGGACACTTCAGGGAGCCAGCACTGCAGCTCAGTGGGCTAAAAGAGGTACTCATTTCTGTGGGCATCAGCTGAAGATCACATTATGGGGAATATAAACATGGTGAGATCATTCTGTTCAGTTGTCGATACACATTAAAACCAGAAGATAAAACAACAGCAGAGCTTAGCAGGACAGAGCAGGATAGCTCCAGCTGGCTGGAGAGAGACCAAGGAAGGAACAGACTGCAACCAGCTGAACGATGCTGTTCAAGATACAGAGCTGTATGCAGGGCACTTGCCCACAATATTCTTCTGGGCCTATGCCAGTGTGGTTAATTCCTTCCCACACAATGGTTTTGCGGGTTTTCAGTTTTTTGTATTTTCCGATCCTGATCCTTGAACTTCCCACAGATCCTCTCCCCCCCTTGGAACACCAGAGAAGCAGAGAGGAAGCACCAGCCACATGGAGGAAGGCCAGTGAAGCACAGGACCCAGCCTACCAACCATCACCAACTGTGAGCCAAGGGAGAGTCAAACTTCCCAAGGAATGGAAACCTTTCTGCAAATTCAGTCTTGTCCCACTTCCAAAGGAAACAAGGGGTTAAAACACTGACTGAAAGGGCAATGGTATTTACATAAGAAAGACCAGGAGCACAAGCCAAGCCTGTATCAATATTAGCAATGACTAATTCAATCTGTCAATGGGAAGAATTAGAGGAGCTTTGGAATATGCCAGGGCTGGTACAAATCCTTCGTTTCACAGACAGTCAACACCGAAAAGAAAAATAAACCACGAAGGCAGCAAAAATCTCAAAACACAACTAGCAAGCACAAGCACCCCCAGCACCTTGTTCATCCCAAGATTCAAAAAATTCCTCCACTGCTTTAGTAGGAACATAATGAACCCCACAAATGCACTGCTCAAGGTATGGATATGCCAACAGTTTTGGCAGTAGCTCCAAAACCCCAATGGTCCATTTGCTGCATCCCTTTTTGCCCCCACTCCAAAATTTTCTGGTAAAATATGAGGCCAAAAGATTGCAGCAAGAATGCAGCAACCTGCTTCCCTTGGACAACAAAGTTTTAACATATGCTCAGATATTAACGTACTCTAAGTAAGCTGTTTTCTCTTGCTTTCCTCTGACTCCCAATACTCTACACTGAAATTATATATTAAAATTCAATTCCCATAATGCTGTATCTTTGGAAAAGATCTTACTGTGAAAACAGCATGGAAGTCCAAAACCAGTTTATTACATTGCTTTTTAAAATGATCTTTTTCAATAGTTTTTTTTTAATCATACTGTTATAAATCTGGGTTATCTCCAGTTCACTGCTGAAACACATTATCAACTTACACTTTTCCCTTAGCTAATCATGAAGCATAAGCAACACTTCGCAGGTTCAAGAAGTTATGGAGAAAATCTCAGTAAGTTTATCATGTATTCACATTCCAGGTAATAAAATTAATTATAAACACTTGTATATACATTTTTTGCAGTTCAGGGGAAAAAAGATGCCGAGATTGCAAAGCAACTGGAATCAGCAAATGTACCTTTTGAATTGGGCTGTTTCCTCTACTTTTTTTTCCCAGAAGAAAAGTGTGTGATAAAAAAAAAAATCTATTCTGCTGGTTACCACTCAAATGTTCTTTTTTTTTTTTTTTGCATTGGTAATACAGCAGCATTAGCAGTGCAGTCAAAAATATATTTGTTTGCTGAGCTGAATTTGGATTGTATCCTGTTTTGTGACAGAAAGCCCCAGTAGTGCAAAGCAGATATGCCAGCTTATCTAGACAGGAGAGGAGAACCCTCCTGCATATGATACCCAGAAGTCTCCCTGAAAAAATGATGCTCAGACAGGTGATAAGAATATACAAAAGCAGGGTCTGTAGAATAACTTGTATCACCTGTACCAGAAGTCCTCCTACATGCAGATTATTCTGTCTGCCTCACGAGGACAGACAGAACCTGTGTGTATGACACCAAGTGATAACCTGTGAGTGTCACAGCAGTGCCCTCAGGGCCTGGCTGGCCTGGATGTGAGCCAAACCAGCAGAGAGGCCCAATTTTGGTCAAACAGCCAGTGCCAAAATTTGCATTAGTTAGATTTGCACAGCACCATTGAAGGAAGAGATGGCTGCAGTGCAGTAGGAGGCAGAATTTGGTGCCAGATCTCAGCAAATGACAAAACCAAAACGTGAAGTGACTCAGTACAGACAAACCTTTTTAGCAAAATATTTCCTGTGTCTTGCTGTCATCAGCAGGAATGGAGAAATGCCAGTCCTCTCCTAGAGAGCGGGGGGAATGGGAGATTGGGCAGCTGATAGCATTTGAAGATCTCAGCACCTCACTGCCTACATACCATCACTGCACTTGAAGATGAACATCCTCCTTTGTGTCACACACGGCACTGCAAAAACAACCACTTAGTCAAGCAGCAGACCGAGACACGTCCCCTATCCATCATCTCCATGGCTTCAACTTGCAGAGACGGGGAAAAAGAACAGAGTGGAAAAGGACAGTATAGTCTGAAAAGTTACTACGTGAAAGTGTCATCACCTCATCCAGCAAGCCTGCTCCTTGCATTGCTTTCAGTGAGAGGCAGGAAGCACAATACTTTTCTCCAGTGCTAGTTCAACAGAGCCAACAGCCCCTCTGGGGGGTCCCCTGGATCCTATTCCTTGCCTGCAGGAGAGCTCGCCCCCAAGATGAGGTGACATAGTCTGGCATCCTATATGGCTCAGCATGCCAAAACCAGTCCCCTGTCATATCCCAAGAAGATATTAAAGGATAGCCCTCAGCAAACTGAGTAGTGGTCAGCTGAATCACAGAGAAACCACAGATCTGAAGCCTTCCCCTGTAATGCTCACAGAAATGCTTTTCTGAATGAACCTCACTTCTAAAAACCAAATTAACACATTGGCAAAACAGTGATGCAGAAAAGAGTGATTCAGGCACAAAGGTGGATGTGCAGCTTTTTCTGGTCTTTTTTTTGGTATTTATGATGACAGAAGCCATAACTTCAAGTAAACATCTAAACATGCATTGTATAATGCAATATAAAACTGATGCTCATTATCTCTTGTGCAAACCTATGGCAATGCAGGCTAACAAGTGCACAGGGTGCCTAATTAAAAACATCAATAGTGTTAAGTCCTAATATCAACTGTTAGTACAGGAGAACAGTAGTAATGTCTAGGCACTTTAAAGTTGACAGAGAATTCAAGAGTGCTTTCTCATGCTGCCTGAAAAATATATCATCCAGTCTACAGTGGTATCAAATGCTTATTTCTAGGACTTAGAAACACAATAATAAAAGGGACAGGATGTGATCTGCATGCAGGTTAGCCTTTTTGTGAGCTATCTGCGTGTGAAGAATATTTGCAAACTTCATTAATATAAATAAGGGGAGGGAGAGAAGAGAGAGTTTAACCCAGAAGAAAACAGCATCAGAATCAGCCTGTGATGATTAAGCCTATGACAAAATCAGCAAGACAATGACCAAGGAAAGGATTTTGTAGGTATTCCCACTGCTTCTCACCAGGGTTAATTATTTGGATGTAGAAAATGCAAGACAACCTGGAAAGACAAGAACTAAACATGCTTCCCAGGCCTTGCCACCTTTAATACCCATGACTGCTGACACCAGGCAGCCAGGTTAAAGCACACACGCCCTGTCAGAGCACAGTGCTTGCCACGGGATAGCTGTTTTCTGCCGGCTGAGAACAAGGTAAGACAGCCCTTTGTCCCAGGATCTGCAGGTTGCCCTGGTAACCACTAGGACTCCAGCAGCGTGTGCCACCTGCAGACCTGCGTCCCCTGTGATTCCTTCATTTCCTGCCAGTGGCTTTGCTCCTCCTCTCCACTGCTGTTCTGACCCATGGAAATCCAGCCGATCATCTCCTTGCGTTTCATGCTGCGCCTGTTGTATATGGAGATCATCAGGGTGACATCAGAGAGCTGGAAGAGGGCAACCTGGAAGATGAAGGTCTCCTTGTAGACAGGGTTGGGCTGTCCTCGGCGGATGGAGGTCTTGCAGCGAGACACCTCCTGACCCACAGAGTTGCGCAGGCAGAGCTTTCCATAGGTATCTAGGACAGAATGAAAGAGGAAATAGTACATCTGGCACAGGTAACAGACTAAATGGAAGCCCCAAGTGGTCAAAAAACACCCAAAACCCCTCCAAGTAGAGCAGCTTTGTCTGCAGTGAATAACACATGAGGGTTGGACATCTCTCCTTGGTAAAATCCATGGGATGAGAAGCAGCAGATGAAAGGACCTCTTGGATTTTCTCATATTAAGCTGTGGAGAAAAGGAAACTGAGGTGTGTTTCAGCCCTACTCTCTTGGAAAGAGCAGGGTATCTGGTATCCAGTCCTAGTAAACCTGTCTATGATTAACTAAAACTATGAGCATCTCTATGGATTCTCCACATCAAATGGTGTGTTTCCATCTTCCCTTCCTCTCCCTCACAATCAAGCTTCATTTGGGCTCTCTTACCTGGGTTTCCTTTGACTGCCCTTGTCTCTCCACCACTCTCTTTTGGAAGAATGCCTCTGTGGCCTATTGTTTGAGATACCAAACAAAAGGATCTTGAAAGAGAGGGAAAAGAAACGTGCATACACAGTGGAATGATTTATCTCCCATGACAATTTCAAGTTTTTTCCAAATCCTCATATTACTTTTTTCGTGGACTCAGGGTCAATTTTATTCACTATCTAAATCAATACAAGGAGTAAACATGCCTAGGAAGGAATGCTCCTATTTAGTGTTCCTGTAAATCTATTCTTTAAATTCTTGCTGCCTCCTGTATTAATTAGTTCACCTCTGTTATGTGGTTGCTAATATTGTGGTCTCAGAGCTCCCAATGCTCCACAGATCCAGCTCAGTGTAAAAGTTTTCACCTTGCTCTGCACGTGACAGCGACAGATTGCTTGGCTAGACAAGTCCTCTGCTAACCCCTTCGTAATCTCTGCCTGGGTTCCTGCAAGTGAGTATTATTTCAGAGTGTGCTGAAGATAGAAAATAAATAACAAGCCTCCGTCTCTTGTCTACAGCATTTCTATCCTCTTCTGTTCCCGTTTGATGTGCTATTTTACGCACTTATCTACTGAGCAACACAAGGTGTGAAATTACACTTCAGGTGTGAAAACACTTCTATGTCTCCAAAGCAGGGCTTTCCACTCCTCTCAAACTGTTCCACTGAAAAAGCTGTCAGGAGACTGACAATCAAGGAGCAAATTGTGAGCCTGCACAGCTGTACAGCTATCGAGTTACTGCGGGGAAAGTTCAGCCCAGTCATTAACTGGGGGGGGCCAGCTTGGCTCCCAGAGTAACACTGGCGATGAATTAGATCTTGCCAACAAAGACCTACTTGTTACACAGAAAAGCAGAGCTTTGATTTAATTTCCTGATGGTATCTGGAAAGAAAAAAAAAAGGCAAAAAAAAAAGCTTTATTAAGAGGTGGACTGATTTCCACCTTACTATTCAGTGTTGGTGGTGCTGAGGGACTGAAATCTGTAACAACTTCAGACCCATCAGAAGCACAAAGCCCAAGAGAGGACTCTCTCTTCTACCTCAACTCAGTGTGGAACTCTGCAAGATAACTACCAGACACAACTCTTGCAGTGTTTGTAGAGATGTCACTTTGTTTTGGACTGACAAACCACAACATGCACTGAAGCATTCCTCATATGTAAGTCCTGGCTGCTGGTCTAGGCTGCAAGGAACTCCCTGGAAATAAAGATAAGTGAGAAGGGGTTTTATAGATTTTTTTTTTTATGTATTCATCCTCTTCTTCTGCTAAGGGGATTTCCAAATAGTAAAAGATCTCCACCAGGCTAATTTTTAAATACAAACAAGCAACTAACTAGTACAGTTCCCTGTTTGAACTTTAAAATTTTTATTTCTTTCAAATTGAAAGCTCACATTTTCACATAATTTTAGTGTATTTTCCAAACCAATCCCATTTACAGGCAGAAAGATGAAGTATCTCACTTCTACTGACATGGAAGAGAGGTGAGTGCTGAGACCTAAGAATTCAAAGAGATGAGACCCCCCCTCTTTGCTCCTGGCCCAGTTCTTCCTTTATTCTCTGGATATGTCCTTGGTGTCACATTGCTTTTCCCTCTACCCTCTGAGAACTGCTTAGTTGAGGGCATTTGACTGGGATCACAGTAGGAGCTGGGAACAGGAAGGGCAGAGCTGGGGCATGGAGCAGCACTGGAATGATCCTGCCCCTGGACCCCTTGGCAGTTCCTGGGTGTGTTTCCCTGCCTATGCTGGGGCAGGGAATGGGCAGAGTGCAGAAGCTGTATGCAGCCAAGAACTGCTACAACACCCTCACTGCTATCCCACCTGAGCATGGCAACGTGCAACAAAACCAACAGCAAATAAAGAACTTTTTTAGACTATCTTCCCATGTTACTTGAGGGAAAGGTCACCCACATATGCCTGTATCTCTTGAAAGAAGACAGGGAGAGGACTGAGGTCTAGATTTCACTCCTAGTATACCTTCATACCATCTTTCCTTCTGAGTTTCACCAGTACTGGCAGCTCAGGTGGGATTCATCACACCTAACACTCATTTGAACAGTCCCCAAAGGAGTCAAAGAAGCATATGGCATAATTCAGCAGTGATCTAGTAGGCAGTGCTGCCATTATAGATGATTTAGGTTTTAACACTAAAGCAAGTGCCACAGCTAAAAAGCCCCACAGGATACTGTTTCAGGATGCCCTGGTTAATTCTTGAGGCTACGAATGGAAGAGTTTCTTACTAGGATGTTACACCCCTGACTGAGGCCTCAGCTTTTGCAAGCGTGGGGTAATATAGCTGGCTTTGAATAAAACTGAGCAGTACAACAACGACTTAAACCAAAGTCAGAAAACGTGGCTTTTTCTTTAATACACATCAGATTTTCTACATACTTCTGCACCAAGACCCTGTCTGTACAGTACCAAGGTTGGTGGAGACCCTGCACGTATCGTCTGGATCAGGCAGGGACGTGAAGGCTGGAAGGAGACTGTGCTCAGGGTAGAGATAATATCAGGAGCCCTATTCATCCCCATGAAAGCACAGGCACAAAACCAGTGCAAGTGACAACTAAATCAGGCTGCTAATTCTCCTAAAATTTATTCCGCTGAGTGTATTTTACCAGGCAAAAGAATCAAGATTGCCCGAACAGAAATAAAAGAGTAGGTGTGGATCATATATTTAGCATTTGAAATTTGCTTTGCAGAGTTGGTACATATGAGACTGAGCTGTTATTCTGCTTTACTAACTACTTTTAAAGATTGTAATTTGCCCTTTCCGCATTGCACTCCTTGCAGCATCTTTTTAGGTGTCTCATCAGAAAACATTTCCTAGTCCTCCTTGTGGTCCAGTCTGGTCCTCTGAGATGGAAAACTCTCCCCTCCTGTTGACTTTGCCAAAGAAAATCCATCCCCAGATACACAGTGAAATTAGTGAAACTACGGAAAGGATGAACTTGACAATTTACTGAGGAATGTATGTGTAAGAGCATCTATTCATTATGAAGGCAAACATTTTCCATCTAATTACATGCTCAGATTCAGTAATGGCCTCATTACGGTGGTGTCTCAGCACTCTACACTATTCAGAGTATTTATTTTCATGCCACCTCTGTCAAGCACAAAAGGAGATAAGAGATTAGGGCTCATATTCTTTAAAATGCCTAAGTGCTCACCTGTTTGGGCACCCATCTCACTGACATGAAGAAGAGCAAGACCTCTTAATACCTGGGAGTGTCTGAGACTGCAGCTTGCCCACGGTTACACAAAAGTCTGTGAAGATTCAAGAACGAAGTCTAATTTTGCCAAGACCAATTTTAGCACTGCATCTACCAGGCTCCATACAGGTTTTGGAACAGAAGTTCTTGCTGCAAATCATTTTCACCCTAAATTCATCTTTCATCTCTGGTATGAGTAGATTGAACAATGTTCACGTATACATAAAATATCAACACCTCTGCATTTAAATACCGGAGTGAAAAGAGCTAAATCAAGGAATGCTGCAAGGAGCCAGACACATTTTGGGCTAGCACTGCATCGTCTTACTCCAGAAGTCTGGGCAAATCTCTCCTTGTGCAGACTGCTCTGTCTCTATCAACACTGCCCCAACCATAAAACACCTCTTGAGAGCTCATCTGCAAAGGCAATCACTTTATCCACGATTCTTCTAATGACCCATTTCTGTCATGATCCTTCTCAGGGAACTAACTGATAATGACAACTCAGGGGAATAATCAGCTCTAATTTATGCATTCCCATTTTTGGAGCAGGGACCATAGCATGCATTCTGCTTTCATTTACCCTAAGCATTACCATTATTAATAAAGCTGACCTGTGAGCAAAAACACTGCAAATACAAAAGCATCTAACCCCCTTGCTTGAATTTATATTTAGAAAGGAAACAAACAACCAAAGACTCCTGACCCCTCACGTCTGTGGACTGCAGGGTACCCCACGGTGCCGCATGGACTTTCCCACCCGCGCTCCAGGCAAGCTAGCTCATTTCCAAAAGCAGTATAACCATGTCAGCATGCTGCAATCCAGACTAATAACAGCCGCAGCAGAATAAAGCCTTGGGCCTGGAGCTTAATTTCCCCCAGCTGGCGTGCCCACGCTCCCAGCCTACATAATAAACGGCAGCACCGCACGGCGAAGCAGCCCCAGAGCTCAACTCTGTGCTACTCTGTATGGCAGCTCCATGCCAGGTCTCAGTTTGAGACCCAGAAGACCATTAGTCCTGGCTTTACCTCCCCATTAAACCAGCAGTGGGGCAGAATTACTCTGAACTGGGCTCACTGCAGCTGGATCAGTAAAAGAGCAGGGAGGAGAATTAGACCCAAGCTTTTGACCCCAACCCCACACCGTAAAAGTCTGGATTTTAGGCAGCTTGTGGCCTACTCTATAAATCATACAAGAGCTGAGAACTGCCTACTATGTTGCTGAAAAGCCAACTTTCCTTCCCCTATTCCACCAAGCCTCTGCTGCTCAGCTCTCCTCTCCTGGGACTTACAGCTCTCACACAAGGGAGAGGCTGGAATCTGGCAACCTTCACAACATGTGA